GAGTGTGTTCTGCTGTGTTGGGCGTGTTCTTCCCTGCTCCTCATGGGGTGTCCTGTTTCCCCTTTTATAGATGAATGGGAAGAGCAGGTTACAGAGATAGAGAGAGAGAGAAAAAAGTCAAAAGGGAGGTCTCCAGTCCGCAGTCTTTCTTCTTCTTTGCGCGGGTCCCACCGGTACTGTAGATGGTGATAGGGACAGCTCCTGGCCGGGCTCCTATTCACCCCCGATGCTACCCCCCGGCATCATCAGCGGGCCGTAGCGTCCCATCCTGTTTCGACGGATGACGCGGTGAGCCGACGCGCCGGTCAGCGGCCGTACGGGGAGTGGGTAGCATAGTGACCGAGCGTCCATCACTGTGGGCGATGTGAACTCCTAGGGGTGACATGTCGTGGCCATGGTCATGTCGAGGCATGCCTGCCTCCTGTCAGATGACAGAATTTTGACCCTGGGGTCGTACTTTCTGACCGGAGTGGTTGGGGGCGGTATGGGCTGCCGTCGGGCGGAACGGAGTCCCTGACCCAGAGCTCGAGCGAGACGGAATCCGCCCCCAGCGGTCGGGCGAGGCGGAGTCCCAAACTCAGAGGTCGGGCGAGACAGAATCCGCCCCCAGTGGTCAGGCGAGGCGGAGTCCGTACGTCAGCGGTCGGGCACGAGGCGGTACCCGTGCCCCTGGGGTCAGCCGAGGCGGGACCCATCCTCTGTGGTCGGGCGAGGCGAAGCCCGCGCCGTCCTTGTGGTCGGGCGAGGCAGAGCCCATGACCAAGGGTCGGGCGAAGCGGGACTTGAGGCGGAGTCACGCGCCCCAGGGGTCGGTTGAAGCCGTAGCCGCGCGTTCGATTGCTCGGGTGAATTAGTGTTGATGACCATTAGCTCCTCCTTTTCGGATACCCTAATATTGGTCCCCGATAGTAGTTCTCTTGGATACCGTGTGTAGTTTCAATCATAAAGACTGCCCTGAAACAACAAAATAAAACAAGTGTTGGGTGGGGGTGTTTCATTCACTATTTCAAAGCACCCCATTGGGATTGGCCTTACAAGGGGTGTTTGGTTCCACCTCCTAAACTTTAGTCGCTATCCCATCGGATGTTTGGATATATGTATGGAGTATTAAATATAGATTATTTACGAAACTAAATGCACAGATTGAGACTATTTTGCGAGACAAAATTTTTAAGCCTAATTAGTCCATAATTTGATAATGTGGTGCTACAGTAACATGTGCTAATGATGGATTAATTAGGCTTAATAAATTCATCTCGTGGATTACTGACGGATTCTGTAATTTGTTTTTTTATTAGTATCCGAACACCCCATACGACACCCCCATGTGACATCTCCTAGACTTCAGTCCCTGAATCCAAACAACCCCTAAGTAACTTCCGGAATGCTAGAACCAGCACTATATGGCAGTAGAACAATGATCAATATCACAAATCTATCCATGGAAAAACCATAAAAGAAATATGGCTTACTGTACATCATACATAGGTTAAAAGAACACTAGCTCAATTGAAACCCTTTTCTATATGAATTTGTTGAACAACCACAAAATCTAATGTAGAAAAGAAATAATCACAAAACCAACATGTGCTATTTCTCTTAATGTAACTAATCAACATAAGTGTCTGAAGGTATACAAATCATAGGAATATAAACTTACAGTTACAGTGAAACCCTTCGAAGTTTGCATTGCACAAGACTAGTTCCCCAGGCATCCAAGATTTTTAGAAGTTCCCAAAGCATATTATCAGCCTGTTTTTTTTTGACAAGTCAACGGGGGGACGATTGTCCCCACCTGAATATATTTCCACAGATACCGGCAAGGCCGGGAATGGAAGGTTACAAAGCGGGGCAGACCCCTGGGGTACAAAGCAGGATCGAGACAGGAACACCAACACAACACTAATAAAAGCAATACAACAAGGAAAAACAACTAGGAACAACATAGCTAGGCTTTAGCATAACCCATGACGAGGACATGTCGTTGATCTCCGAACGCTGCACCACCAAGTGACAACTCTCCAAAGAACTCCAATTTCCATGCAACTGTGAGGCTCAGAGTCGAGGTCGACAGACGACAGTCGTAATGTATATCATCTATGGTGCACATCCGGGATCCAGTCGTCGTCCCCCAACGCCCCTTAATGGGAGGAAGCCTTAAAGGAGGGAGGACCGACAAATGGAGAACGAGGAGATCCAAGAGAGGGGACCATGGTCTCGCTAACCCGGCATAAGTTGAGATGATGCAATCAAGGATCTTGGAGGGCGTTAGATTGATGAAACTGGTAGCTGACACCATCCGTCAAGCAACTTGTGCACCCATAATGGGGGAGCTAGCAGAGAACCCCGAAGAAAGTGTTTGGCGAGTCTGAGGCGAACCTCCACGGTGACGCCTACAAGTAGGACGCAACAGCGATGCCGCCGCCGTCACCGGCCCGGAAGAACCGGAACTAGATTTTCACCTGGAGGTGTCCTAGGGTTGCAAGGTTGGGGAAGGCTATTGCGACGCCTCCAAGGAGGTTAGCGGCGCCCGAAGGCGTCGCCGTCGACAACAACGACATGGTCGTGCATGGTTTTCGCCTAGACTCCCCCAAACCTTGAGATTCATAGGACAAGGACGACGAAACCAAGCAGAAGCTCACACCCATTTGATGAGAGTTGCACGGTAGAACGAGGGCACAGACCACACCTACTGCTTGAACCCTTGACAGCTCGCGCGAAGCAGCTGTAGCGCAGCACCAGCCCCCATCCACCATGCCGCAACCTCACGCTTTGCAGAGCAGGGGGGAACGCCTAGCCCGGGGGCCAACAACTCAGTGCCAAGCGAGCATTGGGGTGCAGCACTGCTTGAGCCCTTGACAGCTCGCACAAGGCAGTGAGACGTACCAACCACACACAGCAACCGCGGCCGCCGGCTCCCAGGCATGACGCGGACCAACCACCATCCAGCAAGAGGGCGGCAGGCACCCCTGGCCCTTGCCAGGCGAAGCAGCGCCTCCACGGCCGCCGTCACCGTGGACTGGCTCCAAGACGAGATGAGTGCTCTAGTTGGGGACCAGGAGCGCCGCCACGGAGCCTCCACCGCCGCCGCGAGCAGGCATGAGAAGCACCTGCCCCGGATCCGAGCGGGCGAGCGGCTGGTTGCCGTCTTCTCCGCCGCCTGGTCACGGCGCTGCAGTAGCGGGGCGTGCCGAGCAGGACAAGGCCAACGGGCACGCCGTCACTTGCCAGCCCCACGCCCGTCGCGCCTGTCCCGCACGCCCACGTCGTTGTCTCGCCGCCCTCACCCTCACGCCTCTGCCCATCTCAACGAGCGGCCATGAGTGAGAACACCAGATCTGGGGTGCAAGGCACCTGATCTGTGCCCAGAGAGAGAGAGCTTAGATCCGGTTCGTCGCCGGCCATCTCGCTCACCGGAATTTCAGAGCTCGGTATGAAGAAGGTGGGAAGGAGAGGAAGGAGGGGTTGGAGATGCTGCGGACGGGAGCCTTTTTGAACGCCGCCGCTGGCCGCCACCACCGTGAGCTGGAGAGCGGCGGCGGCGGCCGGGAAGCAGGCCCGACGGGGGGCCTTCCGGCGGGCGGAGGCGAGTCGCCTTCACGGGACGACGCCGGGAGTAATTTCAACGAACCTAAGATACATCAGTTTGCATGCTTGTTTTAGATTGTTAAATCCCTTTACGGAATGATCATGATCCCCCTTTAGCAAACAGAAACTTCGCAGAGATCAATCATCCATGATAAATTTAATAAAGTGATACATATCATATACAGATCATGTATACCTAGGCAGTTTAAGAGTGAGCATCCTAAAGTGGGGTGCACTTGGTGGTGTGCGCCTCCCACCGTCGCGGGCGAGTCCGGGAACGGCTCTGCACGGTGTGGCGGCGGCCGGCACCCCCCTACGTCCAGACGCGGACGCTTGCCGGTGCACGCCTCCCACCAACGCGGGCGAGTCCGAGAACGGCTCCGCACGGTGTGGCGGCGACCGGCAACACCCCCCCCCCTCCGTCGTGATGCAGCTACCTCCGGCATAAGTCTCGGGTGAAAACCTTGCCAAGCTCCTCCTTGGCTGACGATGATTACGTTTGGACGTCATTTACCTCGCTGGGGGCATCGTCGAAGCGCTCTTATACCTTGCTTTGGTAGTCTTTGCATTTCGCTAGTATATTTGAGGTTTTCGCCACTCTTTGCCCTGGTGCTGAGGCGTTTGGTTGCTGCTGTTTTCCTCCTAAACTTTGTAAATCATAAACGAACCGTTTTGGGCTATATCAATATATATTCAGATGAGGAGTAATCTCTCCGCCCCAGCGTTGACATTCAAAAAAAACTTATGGATGTCCATAATATTTGTCAGTCGATTCGGTGTATGCAATTGTTTCTGTCCATAGGGAGAAATTTGGCTGTCAAATCCTGCCAGGTGGAGTAGGAACACTGATGATGGACGAAGATTGTGGCCCATCACCTATTTGTAAGTTAACTCAGAAATGAAGGGGAAAAAAGGGTGTCACTATTTTGAGTCAGCTGTGATGGGCATAGGCTTCCAACTAGGGCTCGCTTGGGAAGACTAGCTAGTGGATTGCGGATACATGGAGACATCAGGTCTTAGCAGGCATAATTGGGCTTAGCTTAGACGGCTGGCACAGCAGCACCAGGAGGAGACGCAGAGGGCAGACAAATAATGCAATCAGGTTGGAGTGAAAAAAATACTTTTAGTTTATTGTGTATTCACAATTCACTAATTTTTGGGGGACACAAGGGCACAATGAAGACTGAAGAGGACGGCTAAGATATGAGATTACTGCACTTAAAGCAAGTGCACACAGGCCTACACGTGGCAATATGGCTCCCATTTTATTTATTGTTGATCAAAGTTATGGCATGACTTAATTTCTTCATCATAACATGAAAGTGTATGTCTTGTAGTTGGGCAGCATATTATGTATATAATATATATACACAACAATATAGCGTGCGCCTGCATCATCCAAACCTAGATTTCTATCTACCCTCTGAAATGCAAACACTAACAACATTTACACTGCTAGGTGCAGTAGTTGATAGCTCTCCATCCGCCGAGCTCAAGTTGAAGTAGGCCGGCTGCTTTGGGCATGGCAGGCTCGACATGGTCTCCATAGATAGCATTGCAACTACGTCGGACATGGTAGGGCGATCAGCTCCATTCTCCTGGACACACATCAAGGCAATATTGATGCATTTCAGTATCTCCAGTGCTTGATCTTGGTCGTGGTGATCTGCTAATGATTTGTCAAGAAGCTCAAACCATCTGCCCTCCTTCCATAGCTTCCATGCCTTCAACAAAGTGCCCACCTCATCAGTTATATATATAATGAGTTTGTTGAATGAGGATTTTACAAAATTAAATATTGTATGAAAACCTACTTAAAGACAATAAACAAAACTATAAGTGGGTCCCCTGTTGGCACCTTTGTAAGTAACACTATTTGCTGGAACATTCAATTCCATCTTTCAACAACTGCTGGAAAAAAATGATCGTTGTTGAAAGACACTAGACTGTGTCCTCCGATAAACATACAAAACTTAGTGGCGTCTAGTAGGAAAGATCAGTTTTCTCAAGTCTTTGAGCAAATGCCACATGCACGATTTGAGAAGTGCCTTGTGGCAAAATTTTTATTTTCACACTAACCACTCATGATTGAAGAGCAGGCACCATGGGGAGCACACACTAATTGGAAGTCCATGTTAATAGTAAATAAATATAAAATACTTACATAGCCAAGCAGGTTGAAGAAATCTCCTTGCTGGTGAAAACCAGCATTTCTCTTCCCACTAATAATCTCAAGAAGTAACACACCGAAGCTAAAGACATCAGTTTTGACAGAGAAGACACCATCCGAAGCATACTCAGGAGCCATATAGCCACTGGATAGAAGAAAACAGAAACCAAAACATCATGCACCAATTACTAATTAATATATACATTCATCATACAGTTTGATGGAATAGATTTGCATAAAGTGCGTGCATATGCTTACTATGTCCCCACTACTCTATTCGTATTTCCTTGAATAGCATTTGAGCTAAATACTTTTGCTAGCCCAAAATCAGAGATCTTGGGATTCATGTCACTGTCCAAGAGAATATTGCTTGCTTTCAGGTCCCTATGTATGATGCGCAGTCGGGAGAGCTTATGAAGATATAGAAGACCTTGTGCTATCCCCTCAATTATATTAAGACGTTTGGCCCAAGTAAGTAATCTTGCTCTTGTTAGATCTGCACTGGTAATCCTGTTATCAGCAATGATTAAATTTGGCAGTATGTGCTCCTGATATATAACTAAAATGTCATAAGAAAGAAAAGGAAATGTACACATACCAAAGATGAAGAAATCCAGACTCTTGTTTTGCATGTATTCGTATATCAATATGAGCTCTTCCCCTTGAACACAGCATCCAAGTAGTCGAACTAGATTGGTATGTTGTAGTTTAGCGATAAGATGGATTTCATTCTTAAACTCCACAGACCCTTGACCAGATTGTGAAGCTAGTCTCTTAACTGCTATTTCAAGCCCATTCGGTAATTGACCCTGCAATATTTGAAGTTGTAATTTTGTACAAAAGAAAATTAAATAAGCCAGGCCTAAAAACTTCACCGTACTCAATAGAAATTAGAAAGAGATTTTAACAGCGGCCTAGTTATGATCATACTTTATTTAAGGATTTTCTTGAAATGTAAATCTGGATTAATAATTTTTGCAGCCATATATATATAAACCACGGAAAGTGTGCTCATGATAGCATAGCATATCACCTTGTATACAGCGCCAAAGCCCCCTTGTCCAAGTTTGTTTTCATTACAGAAGTTGTCGGTAGACTCAAGTATTTGACGGAAATCGAACATTGTGAACTCTGAATCCGTATCTTGAATTGTCCAAAGCGATGATACATCGTCGACTCTGGTCAAATTTGCCATGGGTTGTTCTTGCAACTTCAACCTCCCTAACCATGTCAGAGAAATATAACAATTCAAAATTCTGTCTTTGGTAAAGTTTACCATGTCCAGGTCCAGCATAAAAAACTTCCTCTGACATAAATCTCTGATGGGTGACGTTGTCACTTATACATGGGTCGGGATCCTTATTCCTTAGACCCACCTTTCAGTGACCACGTCCCTCTACGTTGCGTCCCTCTAATTTACAGAGGAAGAATACATCAACGACGTACCTTTTCTCAGATATCTTATCCATCCAAAGCAAAATATGCATAAGAAAATCCCTACAATAGGGACAATTATGTATACAATCCACTGCTTCTTCCTTTTTCCTACACATGACAATGACACACCACCTCATCAATCAAAACATGACAACGATGAATATTGCACGACTGCATCAAAAATTCAACCGTGACGTGGCTTACTATTTGAACTATTCTTGCACAGTTCGTTGCAAGGGTTGTCTACGCATGCATGTTAGTGTATTCATTCAAGCACAAAGGGGACTAAATAGTTGCTGCTAGCTCGCAATGGAATCAAGGAAAGTAATATTCACTACTAATTTCTTGCCATCTTGCTTTGCTTGATTACGGGTGCTTTTGTCGATTTAAACAAACTTGATGTAAGCCAAAGGTGTTTTAAGGCCGGTCTTTATGGGGTTTCATTTCATCCCATGTGCATTAAATATGCTGATGTGATACCGTATCGATGAAGAGAAGGATGATAAAAGTTTCATAAAAGTAAGAGAGTTTCGTGTGGATGAAACTCTTCTGCACTGTTTCAAAATATAGAAATGTTGGAAGATGAGACATGAAAATATGAACCCCCACTAACAGACGTAAATTAATTTGTAGCACATCAATTTCTTTGGGGCTCATAATTAGACAGGAATTGGAACGAAACGATTCAGGCTGGCACCTGAGCGTCGGCCGGCCGTTGGTTGAGTGGATGGCGGCGGCGGCGGCGGCGTCCCCATGTTGAGCATGGGCACGCCACGGAAGAAGGCGTAGTTCTCGTACCGGTAGCTGCAGCGCACGCCGGCTGTCCGCGCGCCGATCGTCCCGCTGGCCAACGGCGCCTTGCCGACCAGGTCCTCCAGGCAGCCCCAGCAGTCGGCGGGCGACAGGTCCGGCGTGCACTGCGCCAACGCGTACATCGTGGGCACGGGCGCCGCGACGCTGCCGTTCCAAATCCGCGCCGTCGCGAACCTCCTGGTGGACCCGTACGCCGCCCACCGCGCCGTGCCGTTGAGCAGCGCGCGCACCCGCGCCGTGAACAGGGCGTCGGCGCGGGGGTCGGCGCTGGCGTTCTGCGGCGTGTTGTAGAGGCTGATCTGGCCGACGTTGGTCGTGGTGGCGAGGAAGTCCTGGCCGGAGAAGTAGAGGAAGCAGGCGTCGTAGAGCACGGCCACCTCCTTGTCGAGCGGGCAGGAACCCCGCGCGTGGCGGAACGCGTCCACGACGCAGTCCAGGCACCCCGACGCGTCGGCGTCGCCCCGGCACAGCGTCAGCGCGAAGACGCGGTCGTCGCCGCCGGCGGCCGCTGTGGCGAAGAGCGCCGGCGAGGACGACGCGTTGCGGGGCAGCGCGGCGGACACAGCCTCGAGGTTGACCTGGTACGTGCTGTTGGGCGAGTACCGGGCGCTGCTACCGCAGTACTGCCACGGCTGAGCCGCGGCGGGCGGCGAGGCCGAGACCGAGAGGAGGACGACCACGGCCGCGACGGCGGCGGGGACAACCACCACGGCCATGGCTTTCTTGGTTGGTGATTACTAGTGATTACTTGTCTTTATCGATGGGCAGCATATCATTCAGACTTTTACTGCCCACTCCTGTCTCTGTCATCTGGAAAGCATCGATCGACTGTTGAGAGGGAAAGCTGATGCGTGCGTGTTACACCTGTTGTCTGTTGATGGGTGTCCAGGTCAAGTCGTCGCCGTCGAACACACGGAGGTCGAGTCTCGTAGTCGCAGGGGACCTATGTGGGGGCGTGGAGGATCGTTGCAAACGTTCCAATGAGCGTTCATATTCATGATCATGATTAATGCACAGCAGAAACAAGATACTACCTCCGTCCTAAAAACAGGGTCATTGTAGTTTTCTCCTAGAAAGAACTATTAATATCAATATTGTCAAATAGATATACTACGAAAAAAACATTTTTTCATGAAGCTGAAAATATTAATACCCTTCTCTGTAAACTTTGCCAAACTTTGAATAGTTTGACTTAGGATAAAACTAAATTGACGCTCTTTTAAGAACGGAAAGTAGTATTGAGTACGTTAGCAGAAAAGTGTTGTAAAAAAGATGTAGACTATTTGAAGAGCTGGAGGTAGTATTGAATAAGTTAGCAGAAAAGCACCTACTCACGGGAGATGGAAGAAAGCATCTCTCTTACTATTTGTAATTTTTTTTTATGAACATAAATACTCACGAACATCATGCATCGAACACCCGTACCTACAAGTATATGTATGCATACCTTACCCTTGTCAAAAGACTCTAATAAACTGGTCTGGTTGATCTTGAGGTTGATGAAGTCATCGATCCCCAAATGCCTAGTTATTTATAGGCTTATCATCTATCACTGGAAAGATATTAGCCAAAAATTTGAGTGCCCATATCGAATTTGGGACTTAAATCTTGATAGGTAGGTTCGACCACAAAGAGCCGAATTATCTAAGCTATATTTTTTAGTGTTATTGGTACACTTTGACCGAAAGCCTTCTGAAAGCATCGAAAGAGAGAGAATAATATCAATAATGTCAAATAGATGTACTATGAAAAAAATATTTTTTTCATGAAGCCAAAAATATTAATACCCTTCTCTGTAAACTTTGCCAAACTTTGAATAATTTGACTTAGGATAAAACTAGAATGACGCTCCTTTCAGAACGGAAAGTAGTATTGAATATGTTAGCAGAAAAGTGTTGACAAAAAAGATGTAGACTATTTGAAGAGTTGGAGGTAGTACTTTATTGAATAAGTTAGCAGAAAATCACCTACCCACTGGAGTTGGAAGAAAGCATCTCTTACTTTTTGTAAATTTTTTTACGAACATAGACACTCACGAACATCATGCATCCAACACCCGTACCTACAAGTATATGTATGCATTCCTTACTCTTATCCAAAGACTCCAATAAATTGGGCTGAAGTCATCGATCTCTAAATGCCTAGTTATTTATAGGCATCTCGTCTATCACCGGAAAGATATTAGCCGAAAATTTGAGTGCCCATATCGAATTTGGGACTTAAATCCTGATACTTAAGTAGGTTCTACCACAAAGAGCCGAATTATCTAAGCAATAATTTGTTTAGTGTTATTATTTGTACATTTCGATCGAAAGCCTTCCGAAAGCATCGAAAGAGAGAGAATAAAACCGCTATGGTCTCGAGGTCAGTCTTCGTGGGATCAGAGTTCATAATGCATGCAAAACACAAGAGGTGGTCAAGTCTCCGATGGGCCGGCTGGGACGATGGGCGTTGCAGAACGTTGTAAACGTGTTGCCCGGTGCCCTTCATGATTAATGCAACAATCAAGATTTAATTTAGGCCCCGTTTAGATTCCAAAAAAATTTATGCAGTACCCATTACATTGAATCTTGCGGCACATGCATGAAGTACTAAATATAGATGAAAAAAAACTAATTGCACAGTTGGGTGAGAAATCGCGAGACGAAACTTTCGAACCTAATTAGTCCATAATTAGACACTAATTATCAAATACAAATAAAAATGCTTAGCCAAAACCCAAAAATTTTTAGATCTAAACACGCCCTTAGTATTTTTTAGAGTTTCCATGCAAAAAAAGCCAGTGGCCTAAAATCAATGCATAGGCCTAGCTAACAATCCCATCGAGCCAGCAAAATCAGACATAGGTGCGGTCCGGCTAGCCAACCATTTTTTGCATGTAAAAATAACTAGTTTGGGCACGGACCGGGCTTCATTTTCATGGACTGCAAACTGCTGCTCTAATCTGGGGCTTTGCTTTTTTGGGTTTAGTCATCTAGGAACAAGGCCATGTTGGTTGGGTCTTGCTCAAGTGTGGTTTCCATACAGGATTGGATATACCTTTAGAGCAACTCCAAGAGAGTTGGTAAAAATAGATGGCTAAATCCATTATTTAGCTCATCTCTAAAATAGAAAACCCTGAAAAAAAAGAAAACTCCAAGAGCCTTTCTAAGTACGGCGAGACAGTTGGCTAGCGGTTCATGTAAGCTATTTTTAGCATGCGAGAACTCCGGGATAGATGGCTTGTTATTTTAGAAAGCCAGATACAATAGCTATTGAAATCTCTTTTCTTCCCAAAATACTCAAATATAGATTATACAACAAGGATAGCTCTTCTGTTGGAGTTGCTCTGGTCTCATTCGTTTAGTGGGGATTGAGAGCTGAAAATAATCCAGCTGATCGTTGCTACTATAAATATATAAATAGACTTGCCATTCCATCCGGAACTGTCCCATGCCTCCGTTCTTAGTAAAAGAACGGCCCCTTAGAGAGTTAATACTCAATTTTTTTTGGGATAATATCTCTTAAGCCACATGGCTTGTCGTATTCATGCCACTATTTGAGCTCATCTTAAAAACTAATTATATTTGGAGCTTTCAATAAAACTATCCTTTTATGCAAGAGTAGGTATAATCTAATTGTGCACTTTCTTATACATACTCAAGAGAATTGGCAATCGACTAATTCTTAAGTGACATGATGATTCTTTTGGTGCCTCATCAATGATTTAAAATTCTTTAGCACCTTCCAGTGGACCTATTCTGGATTAATAAACTAATATTTTTGCCAAGTATCCCGATGCCAAGTCTAGACTAGTATTGACTTGACCATTCTTAAAGCTAATGACAGCCGAAGCATATAGAACGTCTTTCTCTTCAACTGTAACTATCTTATTCTTAGAATTATTTGGGATAATTAATCTTACTGTGTTGTGCAATTGCACTGTTCAAATAGACAGGTGTGGCATTACTTATTCAAACTCTATCACTTAAGCATTCATTTGATATGCCTTTTGTGATAGTCCTAGTACTTAATTGGTCCTATATTGGTGTATTTCAATAGCCAAAAACTCAGAGGCTTCACCAAAATATATCATATTAAAAATTTGAGTGAGTAGAAAACTCTTATGTGATATTCCTATTGCCACGTAACTCAACTTCACCCATGTAGAGTATTAGGACAATAAACTTTTCCACCCTTTTTTTATAAACATAATTGTCCACTTAATGAAATTCTAAACCATAGTGGGTTATGTTCTTAGTTTAAATATTTTAAAACTCCCTTTGAAGTCACGCTTAGAATTATAGACCCTTTTATAGCCTACTGGTTTGACTTCATCAGAAAACTTATTAACCCCCGCACTTTATATATACTTATGGACCTAAGCTCATAAAATTGCTTAATTTAGAATAACAAAATTCCTCTTCTGATGTAATCATCATATAGATTTATCATGGATCACAAGCAGATTAATAACAATAGAGGTTTACTTATGTGCCTAGTTATCAACTAATGGTTGCTACATATATCTGTTGAGGCTTACTAATTGATTCTTAAAAAACCACAATAGAAATTGTAGTAATTTGAATGGAGGTATACTGATGACTTATGGCACAAACTGAGATATTTATGTCTTCTTGAGTCATTGATACAGAAAACTGTATCTCTCCAATATTTGATCTTCCTCCTTTGTGAACTCCCACTGATTTTTGCATTCTCTAGGAACACATCATATCTTAACAACATAGTGAAACAGTTATAACAGTAGAAACGTAATCCCTTGGACTTTGCTCCCACTGATTTATGTGTTCTCTAAAAACATAATCAGGGTGCATGTGGATAGCTCATTTACTTAGAATTTCATTTCTTATCTTTAGCTTGATGTTACTTATGTCTTGCTAAGGTTTTGCCCAGTAAAACTTTTATGGTCAAATATTTATCAATCAACGTTGGCCATAATGACATACATAAGGCATATAAGTCTTCAAAAACAAGCTCTATGAACTAGTCTAATCAGCATTGGCTAGAATACACTAGAATAAGAAACTTGGTGGACATGCAAACACTAATCAGCATTGGCCAGAAATAGTGAAAGCAAGCCATACTTCAATTAGAGACTAATGTTGGACTAAGGAACAAAATTAGTATTTTATTTTATTTTATTTCTCAAGTCCCATGCTTTATACTCTTATTTGAATTGAATAGAACATCTCTTTCCTGATGAGACAGTCCATTCTCCCCTTCAAAATGTGGCTTAAACAGTAGTGACACAATTTCAACAAGGTCTCATCATCTTGACCAATGATTAACTTAAAGATAAAACTAACATAAAAAACTCATATTATAGGAAATAAATCTCTTTGCCAACTAATAAGATCGATAATGGAATAAATTTGATGTATTCATAAACTCCAAACTCAAGAACATTTGTTCAAAATACAAAGTATCTCATACTAAGATGACATAAGCATCATTAAGAACTAAATTTAAAACTAAATCTAATGCGAAGCTCCTAGGCTCGACTTCATCTTTATTCCATCAATGGCTCCTTAGACTTTGCTCCCCTTGCTCCCCTATGAAAGCATCTAGGCCCCTAGTTAGGTTTCGGTGATTAATGACAATACGAGATTACTGTGACTAACGTGTGTTTTGCAGATGCAATTAAGTTAGGTCATGGTAATGGAAATTGATTGGGCAATCATGATTGTCATGCCCCTATGATAGAAATCATTTCAGT